ATTTAAATGTTAGTACAAGATCATCTGTGCTCTGTTCAGGAGGCATAAAAACTGCCCAGTAAAATGGCTGAAAATCGGCTTGCTAGAATCGTTAACACCTTTTATCTCATTCTCATCATGTACTGAGCTGTCTTGGATTTGCAATGCCTAGTAGTTTCAGAACTTCTTCATTTTGGATGAACAAGAAATATGAAAATCTGATTTTATCTTTTGAAATAGATAAAGTGGCCTGCCGCTCCTACTTGATTGTCACATGTTCATTTAGTTTCCCTATGTAGCATTTTTTCCCCTGGCAACTGGCCAGTGCTTTGACTAGTGGATTCATGATCTGTTATCATTCCTGGCAATTGACAGTTGATTATTTGCTATGTTATTTCTGAAGTTTGTAATCTCTTCTAAAGGCAGGGGGCAAGATTATTGGCAAAATGAGAACATAGTTGAAGAGATGCCATGCTGCCGTCAGATGTTCAACATTTTTCATCCCTTTGATCCTGTAGCATACAGGTTTGCAGCTTTCGTACATATATTAATGATGTTTTCATCACTTCTCTTTATGTACTGGAGAAGACTGTCCTTATCTGTTGCAAAGCGAGGAGCATGTCTCATGAATCTAAGTTGGCTTTTATACAGGATTGAACCACTTGTATGTGAAGATTACATAAGCAAGCGCCCTGTAATTGTACCCTACCATAGAGGGGGAAAGAGGATACATGTAGGAGTGCAGGTGAGTGATTCAGTATATTCTTGGACACCTTTTAGGCGAGTGTGTCTGTTATAGTAAATTACTCTTGTTTATCTGATTTATCTGATTTAGGTTGACATGTCATGCAGGAATTCACTGAAGATATTGCTGCAAGGTCTCAAGCTGTTGCTCGCCAGTTCAAGTCACTGAAGGTAAGGTTTGCTCTTTGGTGATGGTAATATGAGACATGGCTGAATTTAGGCGGGCCTTGGTACATAGACACTTTGTTACCTGTGAATGATCTAGAAACATAGCTGCTCACGTAGCTCTTTCTTAATGAGTTGGGACTTTAATCTCCTTTTTTGTGTTTAGGTTAAAGCAGTAGCTGCTTTGCTATCACTGAGCAGAAATGACACGGACGGTATGCATATAGTAGATTTTTTTGTCTTCTACACATTGCAAGTCACAAAAAACAATGCTCTGAGTATGTTTTTGGTTGTTCAGAGGACGTTGACAGCAATAATGAGAAAGAGAAGTCATATGGTTACATGATGATGGAAAGGCTGACAGGTTCACCAGATGGTCGGATTGACCATGTACTTCAGGTTATTAAACTTTTCCTATTAAAGCAAGTTCAATTTCACTCCCTGCTGGTGTATGTATAGGCATTGAAATTGTGTACTCTGCTTTGGATGTGAAAAGTACTGTACATTGCTTTTGACATGAATGGTGAGAGCTTAAATCATTCTAACCAATATAAGTGATTAATTTAACACCCTAAATTAGCTTCAAGGTTAATCTTCACAAGAGAGTTAAACCCATAAACTCTGAAGTTGGTTAAATTTTGGCTCATAAAAGAGCACATAAATCCAAGATGTTAAATACTATTAAATGCACTTCTATACCAAATGAGTGAGGACATGATTTAAAATATGCCTAATTTGTTCAGTAACCCTTTAGCTAACCTATCTTAACCAACTACTGTGGCCTAAAAGAACTGACAGTGGAAATCATATAACCACTGGCTAAGCTTTGAATTGGCTGGTTCCCCTGTCTCCGCTGGTTTAGTGGTTACTGTGTCAGGACTGCGAACCCTTTTGCCAACATGACCAATTCCCTTGCGCCCCCCCCCCTTTTTTTTTCTGGCTTATTGTATATTATTTATGTCAGTACAAATATGTTGTAGCTTACAGTCCGAATCATTTGATTTCAGGAGAAAACATTTCAACACCCATACTTATCTGCCCTGGGATCTCATACGTAAGTTCCATAATCAATCCTGTTGTTTGCTAATTGTTTAACATGCCTGTTCACCATTTAACTGGCCTGTGGGTTTATTCTTGTAGCAATTATTGGCGAGATCATGATACTGCTCTTTTCATTCTCAAACATCTGTACCGTGATATACCTGAAGAACCTCCAACTGATGATCCTGAAAGGATGCCTATTCGACTGTTTTATGTGAGGGATCCAATTGCTGAAGAGACTCCCTTGACGTTTTCAGATAATTCATTAGTTAAGGAATTCTCAAGAAAAGTGAGAACTTATTCAAGAAAATCTGAGAACGATTCAAGCTGTGAATCTTCCTGATGGTATGGATGAGCAATTGTATTCTTTTCATTCTCTTTTCAGGCGTGTTGATATGGTCATGCTGATCTTTTGGCAGGTTGGCTGGAACCTGCTTAATTTTGCATCTCTTGATGAATGATACTAAATCACAATGCGACATCTCTTTCTTTTCTGCAGGATATGCTATGATAATCTCACTGAGAGGGTAGATTCTAGACATGGAGGAACACTTAGATAAAGAGATGCGTGGTTCATAGTTCATACTTGACCACAGAATCGGAGCACCCGGGTGAATGTTGTACATAAAATCTGCCCGGTTGCCGTGCAACTTTTGTATCTAAACTAAAGAAAATGTAATGTTGTACATGTACAAATAAGGCTATATAGGAAATGGAAAAAGAAAAGAGATTAGTTTTGACCAATTGGCAGGGGAGTCCACCCAAGCGTACAATGCTTTAGCATAGAAATTTCACAGGAAACGGGCTAATTAGTTTTGCATCAATGTCTGAAAGGAACCCAATGTCCCATCAAACTGGAAATCAGTTTATGTGTTGCAAGTTTAATTTGGTAAGTTTTAACTAAAAATTGTTGAAAAGATATGCTTTATACTGGTCATTGGTCACTGTACGCAAAAGTAGGAAAAGTTAGAAGAGCTTTTTTGAGTATCAAATACTACCTCATGAACAACAGTAAGCTGAGGCTCTGTTTAGATTCCACACTAACATTTTACATCCTGTCACATTGAACGTTTGACACCTACATGAAGCAATATAGCCTAAAAAAATAACTAGTTATAACTAGTTATACAAATTGCGACTAATTTGCAATACGAATCTTTTAAGCCTAATTTCTCCATGATTTGACGATGTGGTGCTACAGTAAACATTTGCTAATGATGAATTAATTAGGCTTAATAAATTTATTTCGCGGTTTACTGACGGATCTGTAATTAGTTTTTTAATTAGTACCGAACACCCCATATAACACCCTATATAATTTCTGATGTGACACATTAAAACTTTACACCCATTTTCTAAACAACCCAACTGCTTGGCATCTAAAAGCAGCATCTATGAAGACAGATATGTACATGATTTTGCCTCGTCTTAACTAGAAGACGCAAGTTAACAATATTCTGGGTTTATTTGACGCGATTAATTTGCATTTTGCAGTCTAAATTTGACCATCTCTTTTCATCGCAGAAGGGTTGGGATCAGGATTCATGTGAGTAGTGGCACCCACGCATAACGCGTTCTTCCCCCTTTGAAGGAAGGGAGGCGCCGGCCAGACGCAATAATTTCGCAGCCTCATTAATTGCATGATCCGATAAGAGCAAGTTCAATAGTATAGCCCACTACAACCTCCAATTCATCTATAGCCAATCTAATAACCAATTTATATAATAGTTGCTTACTATACTATTAATATATGATCCCACCTGTCATACACACACTGCGTCTTAGAGTCCATGCTGTAGCTGGCTATAGATATGTAGCCCGCTGCTCTTCTCTTTCATCTTTTATTTTATTAAAATATATTTATAGCTGGCTAATAGACTCCTATTCTAACTGCTCTAATAGATCGAGAGCGACGAAGACGGCTTAGCAGCATCACATGATCGATTGATCACAACTTCACATGTCGTTACATGCATACGGCCGGCGACGGCGAGCCGGGCCTGGACGGCGTCGCCGCCACGAGAGTAGCGTGTCGACATTGACCACCACATCACAAATAGTCGATGGAGATATCCACTTGATTGCCAAGCTGCCACGAGAGCCTCGGTTAGTTGGGATTCCTTTGAGTCGTTTTTGCTGCTACTCCATTGGCATCCCGTTAGACATCACTTAATTTAACGAGAATTCATACGGCGTAATACTAAGGCCACGTTCGATATTAAATGTTTATTAGCATAATTAAATTTTAATTATTACAAATTAAAAAACAAATTTATTGACATTTTAAAGTAACGATTATATAAAATGTTTTCACTCAAAAATATATCATTTAGCAATTTAAAAAGTACACTAACGAAAACCGGAATAAAATTTGTATCTCGATAAAAAAGGGACCTAACTAGTGTCTATTTATTTTGCCTTAAGCGGGCAGTAGGTTCCTACTTCCTTCATCATAAATTACTTGTCTTTTAAGATTGTTTGTTATATTCTAAGGTTTGAAAAAAAGTTCAAAAAGACTATAATACCCTTATAAAGTAATTTATGGATGAGGATGGATGGGTGGTTGAGGGGGAGAATGGAGAGAAATTTGAATAAGATGTGATTAATGGGATAAGTAGTACTGCTAGTGATAAGTATTATGGGACAAAATTTAAATGGTAGGAAGACAACTAATATTAATATAGGACAGAAGGAGTACAATAGAGCTGATACCGTTTTAGAGGTCTACTATCCTCTTTCATTGTCTTTTTGTTGGTTGGTTTTTATTAACGATGGTTTGGTTGTGAGGTGTTGGAGTCCTTTTGTTTTGTTAGCTCAATAGTGTTATTAAAAGGTGTGAGGCTTAATATTCGTGACGATGTTTGTGTTTTTTTTTTAAAAAAAATCTATTTTGAAAGGGAGGATACGGCCTGCTGTCGGACACATATACAGTACTCCGGTCAGCTGTATCAAAAGAAGTCGTACGTGGACATATGTGTGAGCGATTGATGGAGACTGCTAGATGCAAACGTGTCCAAACTGCCATGATTTACTCTGCTTAATTACGCCGTTGCTTATAAAAGGCCTTGGCCTTGTGTCACATTATCTACTACTACTACTACTAGTATCTTGACCCTGCATCGATCTTGAGCTCCAGCTTCATCTTCTCCCGGTGATAATGTCCAAGCTAGTCTCAGCTGGTTGGTCTCCTGATCTCGCCATGGATGCCTACCTGCACACCCTGCAACTGGTACGTACTACATAGCATTTGCAAATGCAACCAAAGACAATTTAGCTTGATCAATACTTCCTCCGTTTTATAATATAAGTTTTTTTATCCGTTTCATAATATAAGTCTTTTAGTATTATCCATATTTATATATATGTTAATAAATTTAGACATAGTTTTTATTAACATATATATTAATATGAGCAACGATAGAAATTTTTACATTATGAAACAAAAGAAGTATTTATTTATGTGTAAATAAACTAATTGAATTTTTGTTAATAATTTCAGTGCAAGGAGCAGCAGCAAGATGATGCTCGTGGCAGTGGCATGGTGATGGAGCCGAGGAGCATGGAGTACATCGCCGCGCTGGCCGCCGGCAACCAGGCGCGCCACCTCCTCGACGTCGCCTCCTCCGCCGGCGGGGGCGGCGCTTCGTCGTCGTCGTCGTCATCCCCGGCCACGGCTGTCGCGCTCGCCATCGCCGCCGCGCGGACGGGAGGCCGCCTGGTCTGCGTCCGCGACGACCAGCAAGGCCTCGACGGCGTCAGGCGCCACCTCCGCCGCCTCGGCCTGGCGACCTCCGCGGTGGACTTCCAGCTCGCGCCGTCGCCGTCGGCGGCCGTCCGGCGGCTGCGCCGCGTCGACTTCGCCGTCGTGGACGCCGGCGTGGAGCGCTGCGGCGAGGTGCTCGGGGCCGTGGACGTGGACCCCATGGGTGCCATCGTCGTGGTCACCAACGTCTTCCAAGAAGAGAGGACGAGCTGGAGCTCGAGGTCTGGCCATGGCGATGGCAGTAGGGTTTGCAGCTATGGGCAGGTGGTAGGGAAGGGCAGGTCGATGGTGTTGCCGATCGGCCATGGCGGCATGGAGGTGACGAAGCTAGGGCTAGGCCGTAGGGTAGGAGGAGGGGGGTTGATTGGGGCCCACTTGCAGTGGCAGAGGCAGCAGAAGAAGAAGCTTGTGAGCACACCCAAGAGGACTTTCTTGGTTTGTGATGGATCATCTTGACTTCTCGAGATAATTAGCTCATCTCATTAATTAATTTCTAGTTTAACCTTCTTTTTTTTTTTGCCCTTTCTTGGGAGAGATTCATCAGAAATATGGTAGCCAAAACTATAAACTTGTATGTAAATCGAAAAAGAATAGATGATTGGCATGCAATAGATGATGACAAAGTGGGATCAGAATGTGTTAATGATAAATCGGCATAGCCATTTCTGGCTATACGTCTAGATAAGTAGTAGTTGTTCAGAAGAGTAGTAGATATTTTGGTTGGAACAGGAATACAAACTTTCCTGTGTAGTTGATCAATCTGGTTTTATGGGGATACCACATACTAGGAGCACGTTGCAAAATGATGTTAAGCTTGTGTTTAGATGATGAAAAAGTTGAAAAGTTGGAGAAAGTTGGTAGTTTGAAGAAAAAGTTGATAGTTTGTGTGTAGGAAAGTTTTCGATGTGATGGAAAGTTAGAAATTTGGGGGAACTAAACACGGCCTTATTGCGTTAGACTGTAATTATAATTATCTCAGGACTGCCATGAAATTCTCATATCCCGATTTCAAGGGTCGCCATGACGAAAAGCATCGGAGCAGATGAAGCTTTGTTATCTGGTACAACATGCAGGGCAATATCGAATTTTACAACCATTCAAAACAATCATAATGTCAGGGTTAATAGCATATACAAAGCAAAATCCCATTGAATAGGTAAGTTGCTACCAATGGACAACCTATACAAGAACAAAGATATCCTTCAAAAAAGAAAAGAGAACCAAAAGTTACACCATCTCAACAACAAACACCCAACCCATCGCTCACAACATTTGTATGACATGAGCACAATCTCAATTTGACTATAAACAATACATAGGGCCACCCAAGAGCCAACAACAACAATATGAGGAGCCAAGCCGATGCCTGAAGGAATCAGAGGAGATGCTTAATGTATACCTACAAAAAATTCTGAGAAGGTCATCTCCTTGCTGAATTCCCGTGCCTTTGGCTGCGAAAGTAGCTGAGAAGAGCCTGTGCCTGTAAGACCAAGCAGCATGTTCAAAACATTGTGACTAAAATGTCTGGCTTTCGCATAAATGTTCAGGATGTGCTTAGCTGCATTTCTAATTGAAAGAGGAAATGATGAGAAATGGCTAACCTTCTCTCTTGCCCGTGGCGTGCCTGACTGTGACAATGCAACTAGAGGAGGCACAGCACCCTCTTGAAGAACTATACTGCAAAATCTGCTGCTGTTTGTACATAGCTGAAGCAATGCTGCAGCCGCATTTTCCTTCCCCCTTGCTGAACCGAGTTCAACAACTTCAACAAGGGCTGGAATACCACGCGCTTGACCAATTGCTGTCCTCCCTTCTGGTATGGTAGCAAGGTTTGCCAAAACAGCCACAGCTTTGTCAACCATTCCAGCAGCAGGGTCCATAAGTTCAACTAGGTACTTCACAGCGTCAGCCTGCACAATACGCGCCTTGTTCTCATGTAATATGGATAAATTAAACAATGCAGTAGCTGCATCTTTCTTTCCTCGAGGGGTCCCATTTCCTAGTAGGTCGACGAGAGGTTTGATGGCACCGGATCTTCCAATCCTCACTTTGTTTTCTTCAATAACCGAGAGACTGAATAATGTAGCCGCTGAATTCTCCTTGGCTTCAGGGTTCCCAGTCTCAAGGACATGGATGAGGGGGTCAACAGCATCAGCATTTGCAATGGCAATCTTATTATTATCATTGATTGACAAATTCAGAAGGGCTGTCACGGCATGCTCTTGGGTTTTGGAATCTGGCGAATGAAGAAGACCAACCAGCAAGTTTATAGCTCCACAGTTTGCAATGATGATCCTGTTCTCCATGTTGTGCTTAGCTAAAAGGCGGATATCTGATGTCGCTGATCTTTGAACATCTACAGAATCACTTCTTAAATCATCAACTAACTTGCGGACCTGATTCTCGATGGCGGAAAGATCACTCCGTGTATCCATGGATGAGGAAGATATTATTCTGGGGAAACCCCTTTCAGATGGTCGCCGAACAAATTGGCCTCTACTACGAACATCAGCCAATCTAGAAGGGATTAGATGCTCCCTCTGAGGAGCAGAAGATGCTGAAGGCCCATCTGTAACTTCTCCAGATGCATCACTACTGTAATTTGTCCTTTCGCTTGGCCCATTGTCACATTCTGCATCAAGTTGACCGCTATTTGGAAGGCTACCATTCACCGAAGAACTACCCACATGGTCATGTGAATCCCTGTCCAAATTAGATGCTTGAAATGCTTCCTCAATTGACTGTTCTGAAGTTTGACCGATAGAACCAGCATTTCTTTCTTCCAGACTAGACTCTCTTGTTTCAGAACCTGCAAGAGATAACCTTGAAACATCTGATGCAGAACCATTAGCATTTTCTGAAGATTGCTTAATGGAGGCTTCATGACCAGCACGGTTCACATGCGCATGAGAATTCTGATGGACTACACTGTGTGGAGGAGATGCTCTATTCAAGCTTCTCATATAAAGGTCAGCTTCCGGGGACCCAGGAATATTACCCTTAGCAGCGACAGTAGGATGTAGAGGGCTGCTTCCTGTGGTGCTCGAATCCTGGAGAGCAGACGCAGCCAAAGGGAAGTTCAATTTCAAGGATTTCATAGGATCAGGAAGCCTAATGTTGTGTGATTCGCACCAATTAGCTATCAAAGCTTTCACGGTGTAATTTGGAATTAAATTGGAGTGACCAAGTCTTTGGCGTGTCTTCGGGCAGATAGTAAAACCCTCATCAAGCCATAACTTGATATAAACCCGCTCATATGTCTGACCAGATGCTACAATAACAGGATCTGACATCAGCTCTAGGGACAGCGGGCAGCAAAAATCTGCAGGAATGGGCACCCCATTGATGCTAAGCAGTTGTGTTTCCCTCAGAAGGTGGTCATGCATATAGTTGACCAGGGGGATCATCTTGTCAGCCAGATCCATTTCTTCACGGTTCTCACTCCGCATTGCCCTTGCTCTGAGATTCTCAAGGGAAACAGCTTCCATGTAAAATTCCAGGTTAGTTGACAAACTCAATGAACTAGATAGTCTCGACAGATTCTCAGGACTTGTTGTGTCCGTCTCAACTAGCTCCAATGAAGACTCCTTTACCAGATCAAACATGTTTTCATAATTTATGTCTTGGAGTTTCTACATGAAATACAAAAAGAAATAAAGATGAGCTGGATCCAGAACAGCAACTAAGGTCTGAAATTGACAATAGTTAAAAACTAACATAGTAGAGAAATGACTGAGTGAAGCATTACCTCAATACATGTGCATGCACGGCCAGTCAAAGAAGGTAATAGAGAGTTAACAAGCTGGCACAGCTGTAGAGAACATCCCTGGATATCTGAGATTACTGATTCAATCTGCCATATCTGTTCAAGGTAGTTAAAGATTACTGGATCAGAACGGTAATATTTGAGTAGTAGCATTAGCTTCTATGTCATTTGTCAAGCTTAAGTTAGCTAATGGGCTATACATTATGATGGGCAAAGAAAACAAAATGTAACATTTAAACGAAGTAATTGCTTGAGCCAGTGATCATAATCAAATTTCGCTTAAAGCAACATGCACTCTCTCAAGACTAAACTCAATATCACTGACAAAAGTACGTGTATAACGTGCGACACGTAAGATTGAACCACCAACAAAAAAGGGGGATAAAGTAGAAGAGTCACGAAACAAATCACGGAAAGTACAACTTGTGCAAGCTCCCGTATAACGAACATCATATGACTTTAGCACAAGAACGGGAGCTATATCCAAAGCAAGAAATGGACCATCACAGGTACGGACTAGGCAGGTACACCCCAAGAACCTTGCAACATTTCAATCAATAATGCGTGCATTGCCCCCAGCAGTTCCAATAGTTTTTATATTTCAAGGCCTCTGAATTCATGAAGGCAACGTCCATCATCTTTTGAATACAGTATCAATTAACGGAACTTGTGTGATAGGTTGTCTGCTAACCTAAATGCCAACCCAACAATGGACTGATAAACATGAAACTAAAATCTTTTAAAAGATAAAGCATAGAGAGGTGGAAATAGTGATTGACAATACTTCAGTAACTTATTAAGGTAGGGTGAATAAGTGAAAGTGAACATATCAAATTCAGCTCATGAGTACGTACAAAATATATTTTGCTGGTTGTCTGTTGCCAGTTCCCAATAAGCCCTGAAGCTCTGTTAATAGCAGTGCCAAGCTCCCTTAACACCTCATTGAGTTGCTCTTCAGGAGACTCACATAGATCCTCTATGAGAGGGCTCACAATGCTTGAGATATCACACACATTTTGGCAGTACTTCTGAATGGGCTTGGGCCTTGCAGTAGAGCCATCGGAGGTTAAGACAGTGATACGCAAGATACTATTGAGCAGGGTTCTCGGGGAGAAATTTTCCATCAGCCCTGTTTAAGAATCCACATGTGCAAGGGTAAGAATACATGAGCTCAAACCATTCAATATACAAGGTCATCGATATATGTCAGTGACGCAATATGCAGTTGTGTACGTTAGTACTTAGTATGTGATTTAGCGAAGAATTACAATCCCTGACATGGGTACCGTACATACTATTCCAAGTTTCCAACACAGCTAAGGTAGAAGGAAGAAGCATAAGATGTGTTCTTTCACCTGCATATTTGTCTCCTTTTAATGTACTATCACTGTGCATCTGCACATCTTGGTTGGCATACTATATATTTAAATTAATGTGTTTGGTGGTATAATAATGATGGCACAATGTGGGTTCAGTGCAACCGCTCATCAATACTAGGCGTTATCTGCATGATTGGCACAAATGGGTTTGCATGACGTAGTGAGTTGGTTCCAGAAAGGAAATGCTTTGGAATAGCTTGCGCGCCAACAGAGAATCAGCAAGAAACGCGGCAAATTGACGAATAAATTGGAATAGTACAAAAGAATATTTTGTGATTTCTGCTTTTTGTCATCTTTCCATTTTAGCTCAACTACCTTAATCGCCTGCAGTACATGCTGTACTCAATCATAAAATATCAGTAGTAAGCCAAGGCGTGCCGCTCAATTTGCGTGGAGATAGGCACCTAGTTCAATCGATAGAATTAGAGAACCCAGCAAGAGAGCCCAAGGCGAAGGGGAAATGCCCAATGGAACTGAACTAAAATGGATACTGAAATAAGACTTCCCGTGGTGCATGATGAAGGAACAGAAATCAAACAAACATTCTCGCAGCAGAATAGCAGACTGAGTACAAACAATTATAGCTTGCCATTTGAAGCAGGAACATCTAGTAAAAGTGTAAAACGAAGGAAGCAATAATACTAGTAATCCTTCACAT